TAGGCCTAAGTGGATCCAATAGGGATCACCGGTATAACCTAACCTAACCTAGTTTAGTTTAGAGTTTAGTTCACCAATATAAATGAAAGATATAAGGACCTTTCTCAAACTATTTCAGAAACTATTGTTTTGACGCAGTGTTAAAAATCTATTTATTGATTTTTGAATAGAATTGTTTGCATTTTTTTTTTAAATTAATTTTTATTTAATATTATTTTTTGTTTTAGCTTATAATTTTATTTTTATTTTATTTTACTATATTTAATATAGCGCATAAAATACAGTTCTAGTTCTATTACATTCTGGAACAGCAATGTAAATTGCTTGTCTCTAAGCATATTAACCAATGTACAGACATAAATTCGCCTTGAGTTCTAAGTAAATTTAATGTCTGACTGTATAGAGAACATGGTGCATGGGTAATGGAACTACGATCTAAGTTCAAATTGTACTAAGATCAGGTAAAAAAACACTTTAAAAAATTTAAAAAAATTTTTTGTTGGATCTACCTCAGAAATAAAGCTTTAATCACACATTAAATTTGCCAAAATGGCTACAACAAAAGTAACGTTTAGGTCTATTGCTAAGGATAGGTGTATGCATTACAAAACTTGAACTCTTTGATAAATATTATTTAAATTTAATCGCCCATTATTCGATCAATTGAAAATAATAATTATGCACATTATAGACATTTGAGAAGTAACTTTTTTTTTTAATATAAAAAGGATGCCCAAATCTGCTTAGCAGATTCTATGGCACTAGCGCTGGAATATTTGCAGTTTTTAAAGCAACAACGTTGATATAAAAGATATTTTGTTAAAATTTTAGATTGAAAACATTATTTAGCTTAGACTTCGTCTATTTACATTGTGCTGTTATTATAAAGTTTATTATGATTTAAACAACAATTTATAGATGAATTATGAATTATATAAAAAAGTAATGTAATATGCAATAAATATTTTGCCTTCCATTTTGTTGGTTCTTTGGTTAGTAATTTGGCAGCCACTTAGCAGTAATAAGTAGTCACAGATGATGGCTGTATTTACCATATTTGAAAATTCCAAAACATTTTCATTTCAATAAACTAATTTTATTAATTTGAAATGGAATTAAGTGCTACTGATGGTACGATAAGCCGTTACCAAATTAGCAGCTCATAAAACGTTACGAAAGATAATCAACTAAGCTGAGAGATGTTCTCAGTAAACTGTTAATATACTAAACACAATATGGGCCGTGTTAACATATTAATCAATTAACTACATGTAATGTGTAATAGCAGCGCAAAGATATATCTTAATAATGTAGCAGCACATTAAAATCAAATTGGGTAAACTCCATTAATTACTGTTACATAAGATAATGATTACGGAAAACTGACGATGAAAAGATATTGTAAAAGTCTTCTGCACCTGTAACTTGAAGTGGAAAAAGAATATCAACAGATTGCAAATTAAGTTGATGCGTCTTTTTCATCGTTACATGCACGGCTGCATTAGCACCAAAAGTCTCATATAAAAGTTGTTGGCTACAAAAAAAATGTAACTTAACGGCAATCAACACCGAACCAAGTTTTTTAGCTTCTCTTTTATTTTTTATCTTCACATCTTTAAATGCATGAAAGCTGCTTACAGATTCGCATTGCCAATATGCCAATATACCAATTTTGGTGTTTAAATTGCAGTTGCAGATACAAAAACTGAAGATACAACAATCAAAACAGATGCTGCATCTTCAAAGTATCCTGATGAGAAAAAACACAGAATCAAGCAAACAGGTTAAATAAGCAAACTATATTTCAGAAGTTGTACATATTGACAAAAATACATACAAGTACATATATTGTATATTGTATTTATTCAAACGTATTATTTGTAACTTTAATTTTCTTTAATAGCTGCTAGTGGGCTCTCTTTTGCAGTACATATTTTTATTGTTTAGCAAATACTAGGTGCCACAACTCGGATACTCAGTATTCACAATATATACCTACGTATTTTGTCGTGTTTATTTTTTATATCAACTGCGTAAGAATTTTAAACATTTATTTATTATTTTTACTCAAATTTGAATTAAGAATTATAACAATCCACAGAATTGATTTTAATGATCGAATAATTAAAAAAAAATTTAGTTTAATTTCACTTTTTTTTAAAATGTTATAATAATCACTTTTATATAGTATATAGTGTCTT